TAAATAATGTCACCAGGCTGACATTGTAAATAAGAAGTTCTTCTTAATGTTTTGCCTGATTAAATAAAGATTAAATAAAATTTTTAAAATAAAAATAAATAAATACATGCTAAAATGTATTGTAATTTTATTGATTTTGCTTTATTTCACAGGGACATTTATTTATTGAATGGAATATTTATTAATACCTTATTAATGACATAATTACATTATGTATTTATTAGTTTCATTTTGAATGAAAGGGCTCTCCGTAGACCAGGAGTCAGGTTTTCTTTAGTTTCTGGTTTTATTTCTCCGGTTTGTTCAAAGTGAAATGAGGAGGTTTTTGTTGGGAGCCACAGCGGTTCTGATTCTGTCCAGACCAGCACCAGAACCCCCCTCACCCCCATCTCTTCCTCCTGTCTGTGTTCACCCTCCTCCTCCTCCTCCTCAGCAGTCCGTCAATGACAAGCGTAAAAAGAACCTCTTTACCCGAAAGTTTCCCTTCTACAAGAGCAAAGAGCCGAGCGAGCAGGAGACCAGCGACCTGGACCGTAAGTACCGGCGCCGCGCCCGTCGCTCGGCGGCAGGAAGTGAGAGATCAGCTGGTGGCGGCGCTGACGCTCGGCGGTCGTCACGGCAGCGGGGCCAGGCCGCCGCCTGTCTTTGCGTCAGATTTAATTTAAAACACTGGAGGGCGAGAGCTCTTCCTGAGCAGGGAGTCTCTCCTTCCACTTCCTGTTTGGAGGCAAAATGGCCGCCCTGACGCCGTGTCGACCGTCTGCTCTCCGTCTGCTCTCTCCGTCTGTCGCTGGAACTCATGACTCTGTTTGTGTGGTTGTTTTTGTGCTTCTGATGACGGCAGGAGAACAACAACGATGACCTGATGCCCAAAACTCACAGTGAGTACCTGACCTTTGACCCCCGAGCCCATCGGTCCGTCTGCCTCCACCTGGGTCCAACCAGGCTCAGAAACTACGTTTCATTCAATAAACAAAATATTTCATCGATTTTCTTTGGATCAAACAGAAAAACATGTTTGAAATGATTCTTGTTTCTCTCAGAACATCTGATCTGTTGAAACGTTTCAAACTGAGCTCATGTTTTTATTCAACATTAAAGGATCCCTGATTCGTTGTAACACTAGACTTTATGTAATAAACAATTATTTTAACTGTAAAATAAAGACTGTAAAAATACTGTAGGATGTTAATTAAAAAAAGTATATTTTAACACGGACGGAGCCATTTTATTTCCACACAAAGCATTCTGGGTAAATGATGAAGTGGATAGGTCCTCGGTGCGAGGCTGCTAGCGAGCTATATCCACCCTGAAGGTTAATCTTGGACAATATCTGATGATCGACTCTTTTAAATG